GTAGGCCTATTCTCTAACTCGTAACGACAACTGTCGTTATCGTTACGTTACCGATGGTCGTCGCTTGTTCTACCGACAGCTTAACGAATGGCGTATTCTGTAACTGCTCCTAGCGACACCCTATCGATACAAAATGAGCTAACGACATCGTTACGCTAGCGACAATGCCCTATTCGGCATAACTGTTGTCAACCAATGAAATTTCACGTTTTCTTAAGATGAGTTTGTGAACACTGAAAGATACAAAGGATACAAATTAAAAATAGTGGTTCACGGTAGCGAAGTTCATAGTTTTTCAATAGCTCTTTATTAACCACTTGCGGTGCAAAGAAATTTTCGGTTGCGCGTGCCAGAACAGTCGAGCGGGAATCATCGCGGTGCGTTCAGGCAGCGTTCAGCGGCCGACGTGCGTAACACGTCGCTGGCGTTCCGGTAACAAAAGCATGTTGACGTGCGTGGCACGTCTTTCCACCGCAAGTGGTTAAAAAGCAGTTTCAACACTACTTAATGCAATCTTTTCTCATATTAGTATTTGAAATAGTCTTTTCTTTTCATACGACTAGCAGATGGTTGACTAATTATCAAGTTCATATTTGCACCAACTGGATTTTGGTAGCTTCCATTAGCATAGAAATTAATTGCTACTAATACTTTTACTTCTGGTGATAAGCTATGAATTCTTTCTCTTTCCAATCGTGTACGCAGTGTATTGACAATATCCATAGCAAGTTCTGGACTTAATCGGAAATGTTTTAAAAATTCATTGTAAGGAAGGTCAAATGGATTTTGTGCATCTCTTAGTCGTCTCATCTCTATTCGTCTTTCTAATTGGCGTACTCGACTTTCTAGTACTAGAAGTTCCCATTCGAGAAAATGTTCTGCCATTGTTTCTATAAAATAATAGAAAAACAGCACAGTTATTGAAAGTGCATACATACACCGTACATGTTACATAAATTATGTTAAGATATATTGAATAAACATAACCTCACTCTTAAACATTTGCATGCACACAAAGGTTATACATACCTTAGATTTTACTGCTTCTATATTACTTAACTTACGCAAAATTAATACCCACATCAATAATTACAAAAGCTGAATTTGCTGTTTGGTTAAATTCATAAATTGCGTTTAATTAAAGCTTGTTGGTTGGGAGTCTCTGTATATATTTTAAATGTCACGATAGAACCAATGAGAGAAGAGGTTTTCTTGGATTCCCATTGGTTAACGCTTCGACGTTACTCGTTACGTTCTTAGCGAGGGGTCTTGCAGTAGGCCTATTCTCTAACTCGTAACGACAACTGTCGTTATCGTTAGTCTACCGAAGCGACACCGTAACGATAAAACCTATTCTATAACTTTCTTGAAGCGACAAACGTGGTTAATGTAGCGACAAATGTCGTTATGGGTATCGGTAGTTTATCAAGCCTTACAAGACCCCTCGCTAAGAACGTAACGAGTAACGTCGATGCGTTAACCAATGGGAATCCAAGAAAACCTCTTCTCTCATTGGTTCTATCGTGGCGTTTAAAATATATACAGAGACTCCCAACCAACAAGCTTTAATTAAACTCAATTTATGTATTTAATCAAACAGCAAATTCAGCTTTTGTAATTATTGATGTGGGTATTAATTTTGAGTAAGTTAAGAAATATAGAAGCAGTAAATTCTAAGGTATGTATAACCTTTGTGTGCATGCAAATGTTTAAGAGTGAGGTTATGTTTATTCAATATATCTTAACATAATTTGTGTAAATGTACGGTGTATGTATGCACTTTTAATAACTGTGCTGTTTTTCTATTATTTTATAGAAACTATGGCAGAACATTTTCTCGAGTGGGAACTTCTAGTACTAGAAAATCGAGTACGCCAATTAGAAAGACGAATAGAGATGAGACGTCTAAGAGATGCACAAAATCCATTTGACCTTCCTTACAATGAATTTTTAAAACATTTTCGATTAAGTCCAGAACTTGTTATGGATATCGTCAATACACTGCGTCCACGATTGGAGAGAGAAAGAATTCATGGCTTATCACCAGAAGTAAAAGTATTAGTAGCAATTAATTTCTATGCTAATGGAAGCTACCAAAATCCAGTTGGTGCAAATATGAACTTGATAGTCAGTCAACCATCTGCTAGTCGTTGCATTCGTAAGGTAACGGATCTTATAAATCAACATTTCTTGCGGCGATGGATTCGATTTCCCATGACACCAGAGGAAAGGCAGCAAGCACGGACAGCATTTACAAATGCAGCCCAACCTTTCGAAGGAGCTATTGGAGCAATTGATTGTACACACATTGTTGTCGTACGGGGCAGTCTCGGGGTTGCTTCCTGGTTCGAGGTCGCGTCAACGGCGACCCTGGGTGGGCGACGGGGGTTCGCGTCCCCTCACTCGTTCTCAACCTCCGAAGCGTCGTCTCCGAACAGCTCCTCGAGGAGGCGTCGTCGGGAGCGGCGCAGGCGCTTCGGCCGAGGGAGCGGCCCCAGGCCTTTTCCGGGGGTGCGAGGGAGACCGTCCGGGCGGAGGTCGAGGTCGCCTTCGGAGGGTACGGCCGATGCGTCGATCCCCCGCGGTACCGGCGTCGGTGGCGTCGACGGGGCGGCGGCGAGGTTTGCGGTGGGCTCGCTCTTGGAGAGGGTCGCGGTTTCCCTGCGACCGACGGGCGGATCAACTTCCCGTCCGGACCCCGCGGGCCGGGACCCGTTGACGAGGGTCACCAAGAGGTTGAGGCCCTCACAAACCCGTCCGTCCTCGGGACAAACCCTGTTTTCGCGGAGGAACGCGAGGAGGCGGCGCTCCTGGAGGCGTTTGTCCGCGCGCTTCCCACGTGCCCGGGGCATCCGGGGACCGAAAGCGGCGCAGCTCACGGCGTCGGCTTCCGTGGGCAGCTCCCGGAGAGCGCCTATCCGCGAACGAGACGTGGGGAGGGTGAGAGGGAGAGAGAGAGAGGAGGCAACTCCTGAGGAGCGCCAACTCAGGCGGCACAGCGGGAGAAAAGGCGAGGAAGGAGGCAGCTCCGGGGGAGCGCCAACCCGAGGGAGAGAAAGCGGGAGGGAGAGGAGGCAGCTCCAGGGGAGCACCAACTCGGAGGGAGAGAGAGTGGGAAGAGGAGGCAGCTCTAGAGGAGCGCCAACCTGGAGGGAGAGCGAGTGGGAAGAGGAGGCAGCTCTAGGGGAGCGCCAACTCGGAGGGAGNTTTGAACTATCAATAAATAAACATCGTTTATGACGTGAACTTCATGTCAAACATTTTCATATTTCTCACCATTAGGAAGCATTCTTTTCGTAAATTAGTATAAATTGAGACCGTGCACGTCTTTCACACTTTTCTCCAATTACATCTTCAAGTTGTACAGGCACATATCTAAGCTGTAATGGTATTATGTACATATATAATTGATTTCATTAGTATACGTAATAATTATAATTTTATTTGTTGTAATCATTACATATGGTAATATGGCAATTCCAGTTATATTTTTTCGGCGCCCCCCGGTAATCACCATCGTGGCTCCCGGACCGGAAGTGCGCTAGAATAGGGGATATCGGGGCAATTTATCCCGCGGGGTAAATTTACCAATGTTTAATATGTTGTCGTACGGGGCGGTCTCGGGGTTGCTTCCTGGTTCGAGGTCGCGATAACGGCGACCCTGGGTGGGCGACGGGGGTTCGCGTTCCCTCACTCGTCCCCAACCTCCGAAGCGTCGTCTCCGAACAGCTCCTCGAGGAGGCGTCGTCGGGAGCGGCGAAGGCGCTTCGGCCGAGGGAGCGGCCTCAGGCCTTTTCCGGGGGTGCGAGGGAGACCGTCCGGGCGGAGGTCGAGGTCGCCTTTGGAGGATACGGCCGATGCGTCGATCCCCAGCGATAAAGGCGTCGGTGGCGTCGACGGGGCGGCGGCGAGGTTTATGGCGGGCTCGTTCTTGGAGAGGGTCGCGGTTTCCCCGCGACCGACGGGCGGATCGACTTCCCGTCCGGACCCCGCGGGCCGGGACCCGTTGACGAGGGTCACCAAGATGTTGAGGCCCTCACGAATCCGTCCGGCCTCGGGACGAACCCCGTTCTCGCGGAGGAACGCGAGGAGGCGGCGCTCCTGGAGGCGTTTGCCCGCGCGCTTCCCACGTGCCCGGGGCATCCGGGGACCGAAAGCGGCGCAGCTCGCGGCGTCGGCGTCCGTGGGCAGCTCCCGGAGAGCGCCTATCCGCGAACGAGACGTGGGGAGGATGAGAGGGAGAGAGAGAGAGAGGAGGCAACTCCCGAGGAGCGCCAACTCAGGCGGCACAGCGGGAGAAAGGGCGAGGAAGGAGGCAGCTCCGGGGGAGCGCCAACTCGAGGGAGAGAAAGTGGGAGGGAGAGGAGGCCGCTCCAGGGGAGCGCCAAACCGAGAGAGAAAAGATGAGCGAGAGGAGGCCGAAGAGGCAGCTCCAGGGGAGCGCCAACTCGGAGGGAGAGAGAGTGGGAAGAGGAGGCAGCTCTAGCGCCAACTCGGAGAGAGAATGTGGGAGGAGGTGGCGGCTCCGGGGGAGCGCCGACCTGGAGGGAGAGCGAGTGGGAAGAGGAGGCAGCTCTAGGGGAGCGCCAACTCGGAGGGAGAGAGAGTGGGACGAGGAGGCAGCTCTAGGGGAGCGCCAACTCGGGGGGGAGAAAGTGAGAGAGAGAAGAGGCAGCTCCAGGGGAGCGCCAACTCGAGAGAGAGAATGGGTGAGAGAGAGGTAGGAGAGGAGGCCGCTCCAGGGGAGCGCCAACTCGGAGCGAGAATGTGGGAAGAGGTGGCGGCTTCGGGGGAGCGCCGACTTGGAGGAAAGGGAGATGAAGGTAGACGAGAAACTGTGCGAGGTTGGTTCCTTAACTTCGGGAGACCGACTGTGTTTATTTCAGTTTTGGGCCTTCTTTATATAGTGAGGGCCCCGACGCGTCAGCCAATTAGAGGGCTCCTTAGGGAACCTCTCTGTCTAATTTACCTAGGGGTACTTACCGCGGTTACCCGGGCGGCGGCCGCACCCTTCGGATTCTCGGCGCGGCGCAGGTCAATCCGGGGGGGCCGTAGCGGCGCGGCGGCTTGGGCCTGGTCGCCGCGGCGTCCAAGGCGCGAGCCGCGCGACGCTACGCATGGCACCCGGGGTTCGGCCTGACAGGAT